TTTTCATTTTCATTTTCATTTTCATTTTCATTTTCATTTTCATTTTCATTTTCATTTTCATTTTCATTTTCATTTTCATTTTCATTTTCATTTTCATTTTCATTTTCATTTTCATTTTCATTTTCATTTTCATTTTCATTTTCATTTTCATTTTCATTTTCATTTTCATTTTCATTTTCATTTTCATTTTCAATTTCATTTTCAATTTCATTTTCAATTTCATTTTTTGAAAGCTATTGGAAGACAATCTTCCGCTTAACAAAATGTACAAATTGAAAGATGTGTCTGATGCTCCAATTCATTTCTTTCAGTGACATGAAGAAGTCGTTGGTCGGATTTTACTGAGAATCAAAACGAAGCTTCAAAAGCAGAAGTTTCACCAAGAATAAACTGAAGCTGAAAAAAAACTGAAGACTAAAAGCTGCGTGCAAGCCGGGTGAGCCTTCCATGACTGAGTATATGAGTTTACAAATGACGTAACATCTTGAGGATATAAGCATCCGTTTATGTTTTTTTAGATTTTTTTATGAAGAATCTTTTTTTTTTAAATCATTTAAAAAAGCATTTTAGAGTTATAAATTGTTTTACATATTTATTTATTTTTAATCCAAAATTTTAAAATAAAAAAATAATCATTTCTAATTGGCAATAAAAAAGAGTCAGAAATTGAAATGTAATTAAATTCATTGATGAGATGGTATGCAACACTGACCTGGATATAAGAGTGTGATGAACTTGATGTTTAGTTGTGCTTTTTTAATAATGTGAGTCAAACTCATGAAGTTCCATACGATCACTAGGATAATGAAGCTTTCAGTTTTTGAATGCAGCAACATTGACTCTAACCAAATCTTTCGCTATATTAATTGATTTGATGACTTTATTCCTGTAAAATATTACTGTTCCAATATAGAACACAACAAGATAAACTAAGAGTACTATGGTAGGTAGTTTCAAGAATCATCTTTTTCATCTCATTTATCTTTTTCAATCATTTTAATTAACAATGGCCGAGATTTAAATTTAGGTGACAAAACTCACAATCGTGAGTTCTTTACCACCAAGCCACAAGCATCCGGTTATAAATTGTTAATTTTTTCCTAAATTAATATATTTTTGCTTCTACTTTTTATTTGATTAATATACTAACAAATACCTAAGTAAACATTAATCAACTCCATAAATCACATGATATCACCAATGTTTTATCAACCAAGTCAAGTTATGTGATTTTTAATGTTTCATTCATCATATGATATATAACACGAAAATAATTTTTTAAGAAAATTCTAACAATAGCATCCAATATACAAAATTACACAACACACCAATAACGTATTTAGCTTGCGCGGAGACAATGCCCCTAATTAATATGAAAGTCTCGGTTACAAAAAAAAAAATTTGCTGAAGGGATATTTAACTCTAAATTAACTCTAAATAAAATACCAAAACGTAAACATTGTTTAGATTTGGAGCTAATATGTAAATAGCAGTCAGTTAGACTCTAAAGTGGTTGGTTCACACTCTCGTCGTCTCTCAAATTAAAATCATCTATCTACTCAAGAATCTGATTCTGATTCCGATCAAAACTTGGAGAAGAGGTATTCCTCCAAATGGGGCTCATCTTAATTACACATGGGCCACAAAATAAGAATGATTAAGAGTTAGGGGCTAATATGTAAATTGCAGACGAAGTAAAAGTAAACGGTCTTGGTTTAAAAGTCCCACGTCCCCTCCCTTGTCTCCTCTACTCTGAAGAAGAATCTGATTCCGATCAAAAAAAAAAGAGAAGAGTTGCAGAGCAAGATGTCTCGCCGCCAATCTCTTACCCTAGTGAAGAATCTGGGTAGATTCACGACCGGGTCGAAAAACCAGACTCGATCCGTGACTTACATGCCGAGACCCGGTGACGGGAAGCCACGACCGGTGACGTTGATCCCCGGAGACGGAGTAGGTCCTCTGGTGACAAACGCGGTGGAGCAAGTGATGGAGGCGATGCACGCTCCCGTCTACTTCGAGCCCTTCGATGTCCACGGAGACATGAAGAGTTTGCCGGAGGGTTTGGTGGAGTCGATCAAGAAGAACAAGGTCTGTTTGAAAGGAGGGCTCAAGACTCCCGTCGGTGGTGGTGTCAGCTCGCTCAACGTTAACTTGAGGAAGGAGCTTGATCTGTTTGCGTCTTTGGTCAACTGTTTCAACTTGCCTGGTTTAGCCTCTCGTCATGAGAACGTTGACATCGTGGTGATCAGAGAGAACACTGAAGGTGAGTATGCAGGGCTTGAGCATGAGGTTGTCCCTGGTGTTGTCGAGAGCCTTAAGGTGAAGCCTACTCTTTTTCTTTTTCTTTTTCTTTTTTTTTTGGTCAAACTGTCCATGAACTTGATTTTTGTGTCTATGTATATAGTATACGAGCTTGGTTCGCTGTGAAGTGTGAAATTGTTTTCAGAAGGCTAATCTCTGTCCATGGACTTGGTTATTGTGTCTTATAGTGTGTATGCATATGAATTTGGTTCCGGCTGGGCTTGATTTGGCATAGGATAATGAAACAATGGCCTTGGTTCCCAAAAATTTTGAAGGTCTTTTACATAGATATAGACTCTGTTAAAAACAAAAAAAAACAAAAAAAATTATTGACGCTTTTAAAGATATGTTTGTCCTCTTTTGGTGATCCTTTTTTTGCAGAATGCTAGTCACTGTTCATGAACTTGGTTCTTGTTAAAATGTTTGCAGAATGCTAGTCTCTGTCCATGGAGTTGGTTCTTGTGTCTACGGAATTTTCACATTCACAGAATGCACTTTGATTATCATTTTTTTTGTCTTAATTAAGATGTCTCTGATACTTATTGTTTTGCTAGGTGATTACAAAGTTCTGTTCGGAGCGTATTGCCAAGTATGCGTTCGAGTACGCCTACTTGAACAACAGGAAGAAAGTTACGGCAGTGCACAAGGCCAACATCATGAAACTCGCGGATGGTTTGTTCTTGGAATCTTGTCAAGAGGTTGCTAAGAAGTATCCTAGCATTGCCTACAACGAGATCATTGTTGATAACTGCTGTATGCAACTTGTAGCTAGACCAGAGCAATTCGATGTCATGGTAAAGTATTTTCAGCGCTTGTTGATTCTAGCTTCCTTGGACTTGGCTTAATTTACATGACTACTTCTACTTTGCAGGTGACTCCCAATCTCTATGGTAATCTAGTTGCAAACACTGCTGCTGGTATTGCTGGAGGCACTGGAGTCATGCCTGGAGGTAAACGTTTCCCTGACCCAATGCACCATAGAGAGAAATGGTTCCTCTTGCTTATTAGATTTGAAACTGTCAACAGGAAATGTTGGAGCGGAGTATGCAGTGTTTGAGCAAGGAGCATCAGCGGGGAACGTGGGGAAGGACACGACTGAAGAGCAGAAGAATGCAAACCCTGTGGCGTTGCTGCTCTCATCAGCCATGATGCTTAGACATCTTCAGTTCCCTTCTTTTGCTGATAGGCTTGAAACCGCGGTGAAGCGTGTCATTGCTGAAGGAAAATGCAGGACTGAAGATCTTGGCGGAAAGAGTACAACCCAAGAGGTCGTTGATGCCGTCATTTCAAAGCTGGATTGAGTCAATATAAGTGGTATGTTATGATTCACACAACGCAGTCTACGGATGTGTGTACATCTTTCTTTCTTTTTTCCCACATTCTTTCAAGATTACTCGAAATTGTCTCTAAAAAAAGAGACATGGTTTTCGTTGATAATTTTTTTTTATTTGGGTTGTCGTCAAGTTACGATTTTGCTACCCCAAGGAGAAACGAAAGGATACAAAATGCTTCTATGATCTCTTTGTTGTTCCTGTTACTTTTTGAATAAATCAAACTTACATTTAACTTCTTTATAAAAGATTTACTGTGCTTCAAGCAGAACGATGTTATTATTTCAAATGGTTTTGTTGCTTATTTTGTTTTGACTTTATCATTTTGTTCTTTATAGTGAGTTAATATGAGTTCTCACTGAGTTAGTGAAATGTGTTGATTGTACTGAGAGAGAAGCTGCTCCTGAGAATGAGATTGAGAAAGTAATTTTAGCCTCTTGTAACCAACTCTTTGTCAAAAGTTGAACTATATTCCGAGACGGTAAAAAACAAGTCATGGTGGTGTTTTTCATTTGCATTGTATGGTTTGGTTTGGTTTGAATCTATGTACCTGATAATACAGTGGTATACAAAATCCTCAGCCTTAAGGACCACTAGACGCTATCAATTCTCCAGAACTACTCATCTCTTTGATCTCAGCCTTTGCAAGCCGAACCAAGAACAAACCCGCAAAGAATATCGAAACAATAAGCATAAAAAACACACTATTCCACCCTCTGCTCGATATATAACCAGCAAGCAACGGTCCCAGAGCCGCCCCAACCGAGCCAGTACCGTCTATAATAGCTGTTACCGTCGCCAACGCACGGCCGTTCCCTTTAATGGAGTCTTGTGTTCCGAGATCAGCTGCAACGGCTGTGGTTATGAGTGCGTAAGGACCATTTACTAATAACCCGGATATAAACATCAGACCGATGTTTATGAACATTGACACACTCCCATAGATTCTGTACATAATCAAGACAGGTATGGATAGTGACAAGAATGCGATTGATGTGAGTGCACGGGCTTTGATTTTGTCGGAAATGAAACCTGCTGATATGCCACCAAACACTCCTCCAATGTCAAACACAGTCGAGAGAATTCCAGCGGTTTTGTGGGAGATATAAACACCCGCAACAGCTGTAGAGTAAAGAAAGAAGATGAGTCGTACTAATGCAAGTTTCAGTTCATAATATGAAAAAGTAAAGAAGCTTTACCTTGGTGCCTTAAGTAGTATGGTAACCAGTAAAGGAACGTGTACGCAACGAGTTTGGAGAAGAACAAGCAGAAAGCAAAGGGAGCAACACCAGGTAACTTCCACGCTTCAAGAAAACCAATAGCTGATAGAGAATCATCATCATCATCTAAATTTACAGTTTCAAGAAGCCCTACATCATCATCATCTTCCTTGTCCTCCTCTACTACAGTCTCAGCTAAACTCATCTCAATCTCCTTCCCAGGCTCTTCAAACCCTAAATCATGAGGACTCACAACAAGACACATAAACACAACCAATCCAGACACAATCACCAACCCACCAGGCAAAGCAAAAGACCATCCCCATCCGGAGTCAAGCACCGAGGACGCTATAACAGAACCAACAATGTTCCCAACAGATGTATGAGAGTTCCAAACACCCATAATCAAGCCACGCTTCTCTTTCCCACACCAGTTGCCAACAACAGAGACAACACAAGGCCACCCAATAGACTGAAACAACCCACAAGCAATCTGAACAGTCATGTAAAACCCAAGGAGATGCACATTCATCCAATACCCTAACCCAAAAACAACGGTGAGGATCCCACTTCCCATCATACCAAACACAAGAAACAGCCTCAGATCGATCCTATCTCCTAAATGCCCTGCGAAATACATACCGAGAGCGTAGGAAGAAAGGAACGCTAGATCGAGCTCACCGAGTCTCTGTGTTCCTTTGGTTCCATTGAACGGAGCCCATCCGTTCTCGATCGGAGAGATTGATTCGTTAAGGGAAGGTCCAAGGACGCTCTTGACGATGCTTGGAGGTTTGCGAGAGGCGTGAAATGAAGCGTAGGCGACGAAGGTGATGATGAGAACGATGATTTGGTGGAAAGTGAAGGTTTTGTTTAAGCTTGGGAAGAGAGAAAACGCCGGAGGTAAGCCGCCGCCGACCATCTTTGATTGCATCTTGAATCAATGGTTAAGCATTTCTTGAAATTAAAAAGAGTTGATTTTGTTTTATTTTCTCTGGGTAGGTAATGGGTTGCTACCAGATATCTTCAAGGCTAAGGAAACAGAGATCTGAGGACGCTCAAAGGAATGCTCCGCTCAAAGTCGTTTCTTTTCGGCGGTCTGAACACATTTTTCTTCTTCTTTGTTTTGTTTTGTTTTTTTTTTTTTTTTGTCGACTCTTCTTTGTTTTGTTTTGGTTGCTGTAATAAAACTCTATTTTTTCCTCCAAAATGAAATAAAAGTGATTATGAAGTGAAAATGTTCCAACTTCACTATATTTCCAACTCCATAATGGAGTAGTGAACAAAGAAAAAATAGATTACTTCATTTATCGAGTAAATCTCATTATGGAGTAAGATATGGAGTGGAGTTGGAGCATATTTTACTCCATAATCACTTTTACTATATTTTGAAGTAAAAAATAGAGTTAGGTTGGAGATGCCCTTAGGGGGTTTTTTTTTTGTTTTTTGTTGATTACTAAAATTTTAATTATGTTGCTGCTGATTTATGATTTTTTTGTATTTTTTTATTGGGCTACACCCGATTTTTTTCCATATATTTAAATTAAGTTTTGATTATTTTATTTGAGTATATATTTTCTTATACTTGGATTAATTACACTATATAAAATATCAGGCAACTTTATAATTTTATTGCTTTTGGTGACTACATTTTTCTAACTGTTGAAATTAAAAAAAAAAAACAAGTTCAGTATCAGAAAATACATATAAGTTGGTAAGCATATTGAATATTTTTTTATTAATCGTATTTAAAATCTAATATTCTTTTTTATGTTTATTAGAGTTTCAATGAAAATATGATTAATATAATATATAATTCTAGCAAATGTTGATCACCACAGAAGCTCATAGGAGGGTGGGCACTTTACCCGATACCCGAACTCGTACCCGAACCCGACCCAAAATATTCGAACCGAAATCCGAACCGAAGTAGCAAAATATCCGAACGGGTATTGAGTTAGGAAAGTTTGGATATCCGAACCCGAACGGGTAATACCCGAATCCGAACGGTTACCCTAACCGAACATATATATATACCTATTTATTCCTAGTTTATTTGTCTCATTTTATTAAAAATATCTATATCAATGTTATATATAGTTTAAGATCAGATAATATACATATAACTGTAAAAAAAAATTGATTTGTTACTCATTTAAAATGCATATTAAGCTTCTTATTTCATATTTTAACAAAATTTGCATCCAAAATTCGAAAATAGCAACCAAAATAATGATTTTTATTTTCAATAATTTATTTTCAAACTATTAATCGTCCAACTTATTAAACATATAAAAAACATGAATATCAGTAAACGTTCAAAATTAAAGAATGACGTTTTCAAATTGCAACAACCTATAGTCACAACTAAAAATAAATCCTACAGAAAGAACTCATTCATATGAACACTTCTTCCCTAAGTAGAACAAAAACTTTCCTAGACATTATTTCCGTTCCCGATTGAAAACCGGAATAGAAATAAGAAGCTTGTGAAAACTTTCAAAATATTGCTTCTTAAATAATCTCTTTAAAACATGTAGAAAGGCTACACTTTCATTTTGGAGTCACTTTTCAGTTTCTAAATAAGTAAAAAAATATAAAATATAAATTATGTTATTATTTTTATTATTATATTAAATCCAAAAGTAATAGTATTGAACTGAAAAAAATATATGCAAACATTAAAATGATACGATAAATTATTATTTTGAGCAATAGTTTTTAAGATAAATTGTAATTCAAATATAGTGTGTCAATTATTTCCATAATATTAATACAATTATTAATTGGGTAATCTATTATTATGAACTTATTTTTTATCATAGCAAAAGGATGTAGAATTATAAAAAATGAATAAGTTATTTTCTTCTTAAGTTCCATATATTGTATAAACTCGGTCTATGAATGCATGTTTCCAATATGTATATGCTTCCTAATATTTTAAAATTTTTACTTCTACGTATAATTTTAATTTCATGTACCCGCTTTCGGTTCTATGTAACAGCATTTCTTCCACCAACAACAAATATTGACATATTTATGTAAATATTTTATCATAAGCCAATTTAAAAAATAAAATAATATCATATTATCCGTTCACGCCAAATTATCTTAAATTCACCCTTTCATGATATCCACAATTTTGATCAAATATCTTGCATGCAATCATACTCCAACTCAATCACACTGTAAAAATTATTAATATTTTTAATTAAAATATTTCATAAAATGAAAAAGATCAGAGATCCCAATGCGTGAACTTTATCCTCACATGTCTACTAAACTTAAAAATCAGAAATTTTTTTCTTTTTTTATATCAAGTATAAATTCTATAAAATTAATATTTATTAAATTGAAAAACACCTGAAAATAATATATGTATTTTAATTCAGAAATAGAACACAATTGAATAAAACTAGAAGGTATCAATATTTTAAACAATCGTATACAGATGTATCGTTCTATTAAAATAACAAATAAGTAGTTATGAATATAAAACTTATATATATAGAAAAAATGCTATTGTTTTTTTTTCATAGTCTACCCAAATTTTTTAATATTTTACTTTTATTTAAATTTTAGTAGTTTAATGTTACATTTAAAACATACGCACCTTCTAAAATCTATATCCCATTACACCAAAATAAAAATAAACTAATTCCTGAATCTTTAAATTTGATTAAGATATAAAATAAACTATAATTCTTAGTTTCATAAAATATTTAAAAGTAAACCAATCTTAAAATATTTTATCAAATCTTAAAATATTTTATAATCTAATCAAATATCATGCTTTAAAGATTAATGATATAAAGAGTTTTGGCTGTTTTTCGTCCAAAAAACATGAACCAAGTGTTATTGGTTAACATATTTCCTATTTATTTCAGCAACTAGGTGATTTTTTCGTGCTCATGTACAGACATAAATATTTATAAAATAAATATATTATAATAATTGATTGATATTTACTTTAAATTTAAATTAATTTATAATTTGTAGGTATAGTTTCTATTAAGAATATTATATTAATTTAGTTATATATATAATTTTAGATATATTATATTTCATTAGTCTTATTGTTTTACGGTTGATTTAGTTATCATATGGATATATCAGCTTCTATCTATTTCTCTCAATTCAACTATAATTTTTTTATTCTAAATATATTAGATTTTTGCTTAATTGTATTTTATTTACATTTATGCCCCTTGTTATCTTTGAAATATAAATATATATAGTTAGATTATGTATAATTTAAGATTTTTTGTGCTTAGAAAAAAAAAAACAAAAACTAAACTGTGTGATTATAAGCTTATGAACACATATCAATATTTACAATATTTAGATTGATTGGATGGTAAACTGAAATTTATTTTAAATATTTTTAAAATAAGGATTCTGATTTGCTTAAGTATTTTGATTATGGTTACATTAAGTTCCACAAACATAAAAACATAAAATTAAAAATCAAAAGAGTTATTAAGAAAACATATAATTTTAACTATTAAATATAATATATCTACTTCGTTAAATTATAGTGATGATATTTTAAAATAATTATAGTTATTTGATCAAAAAATATTTATTCTTACATTTTTTTAGTTTTGTTTTTAATATCTCTTAAAATATGCAGTAAAAATGTTATTGTTTTTGAGAAATTATATTATATAAGTAAAATAGAATTTATATTTTTTGCTGTAATTGTAAGATATTATAGTCAAATATATATACTAAAAATTAAAAAAAAATTCTTCAAGAATACTAATTATAAAAAATTTGTCAATTAAACATATATCAGTTTATGTTACTTAATTATTTTATGTAATCATCTAATAAAATAGATAGATATATACAAAAAATAATTACTTTGGAAAAATATATATATTTGGTTAAAATTATTTATTTTTCTACTATCAAGATTAGTTGTGTAAGTTTTTTTTATGGAATCACATTATATACAAATATTGTTTTTCATCTAAGATGATATAGATATAAAGTATTTTATTACTTCGAAAGTATATTTTATGTTGTTTAAATATATTTAAATTAAATATTTCTATTTTGTGAAATTTCATTTTTTATGAAACCATATTTATATATACTTATATTTTCGTTTTTAAATAGTTTTTTAAACTTTATAAATGTTTCCTTTTTATTTTATATTCTTATTTGGAATTTGTTTTAAAAGAAATAATAATATTTAAATGTATTTTTTAATTCATTAGAGGTATCATAGTAATCAACCAGCGTGGGGGTTAATGTGAGCGTGACACATAAAAAAATGACTTCTCAAATAATATTATAAAGATTTATCGCTTAAATTTACATGTATTTTCATAATATTTATCGAATTATATGTTAATTTCTAAAAAAGTAGAAAATAAAATGTAACTGATAAATTTTTGAATGTTCATGAACATATATATTTTCATTATTTTGAAAATATATTTTATGTTATTTAAAAATATATATTAATGGGGGTATTACTATTTTGTGAACTTTTCTTTTAAATAAACTCATATTATATACATATATTTTTGTTTTAAAATTTTAGAAATATTTCATTTTTATTATATATGTTATTTGGAAAAAGGTAAAAAGGAAACTAAATAAAAATTAATAATCTTAAAATCTAATAATTCATTAAGCGTATCCATGTAATCAACCATCGCGAGAGTTAACGTGAGCACGACACATAGGAAACTGACTTGTCAAATAATATTATAGAGATAGAGGTTTTTTTTTGTCATAGAATATTAACCATAAAATTTGTAAGGCTTTCTAAAGAGCTAATCACTAATAATGTTGTATGGAAGATATATAGAATATTAATCATATATTTTTTGAAACAGAAATAGAGATAAATCTATAAAATTGATGAAGATAAGATGTAATTATTTTCAAAAATTAGTTGAGTCTCAAATTCTGAGAACCACGGATAAAAAAAATGGAAGATATTTTTATCCGGGAATCTTCATACACAAACTCATTTAGAGGGACATAACAACGAATGTGAAGCGGTAGTTTCTACAATAGATGTCTCTGGTGAAAAAGAGCAACGAAGAAAACCGCATGATGCTTCTGTTCTCCTACTCCCTCAAACTCATAGGCAAAAAACGCCGCATAGTTAAACTGTAAAACTCAGCCTCAG